CACAACGGAAAATACCTTGTAATTGGACGTGCTCATGTTGCTGATTCGAGGGATGTGCTAGTCAGATTCCCGGAACCTATGTTGCACTCCGGCAGCGCCAATGCTCCGGAAAGTGCGCTTGTTCATAGCGCGAACGCGAGGCTTTGTGAGATGTCTGGACCCAATCCTCATGCACCCGTTTGGGGGGCTTTGTCGGGCTGAACGGACTCCTCGACGAACAGACCCGGAAGATGATGCGTGAGGAGGCCGAGATCGCAGACGAGAAAGGCCTCGCCGCGAAGATAGTCGCTCAGGCTAAAGTCACGGGGCCCCGGCTGGCGACAATGAGCGCCATCTCCGAGCATCGGAACCGATGGGTCGCCTACAAGGTTCGTGGGCGACATGCAGGGAAATGCCGCCAACTTTTCGACTTAGGGTGATCGAGCTAAATATCCGTCATGGGTAGCGTGACCGGCAGGGTAAAATGCTGGCGCTTTTGCCTGCTTGGTGATCACTGATTGTCAGCAGAGTCCCAAAGCAGGGGGCTGCGCTAGCCCCCATATTAGCATGTGTTCGGTATCCGAATGTCAATACCACGATCTCCAATACAGCCAAGCGATGGGTCCACTCTGTTGTACTTCTTCCTTTATTTTCTTTCCTGCAAAAGCACTCGCCAACAAAGCAAGTTTCATGCTTCCACCCTCTTGTAAATTTACGGGTGTTGTACGCAGCCCGTGTGACTGTTCACGCCGGGGTTAGCAACTGCTTCTTGGCATACACACGATCCTTGCCTTGCTCGTGCGCACGTGCAGGTGCAAAAGGCCGTCGAGCAGAGAGAGAAGGACATCGCAAAGTGGAACGCGAAGACCAAGGGCGGCGATGACGAAGACTCCCTCGAGTCCAACCCAAAGCCTCGCAAGGTACCGTACAATATGGCTACCGTAGGACGCCGTGCGCCGACCTTGACCGATGGGGAATTCGTGGGGTGGATTTACGCAGGCAGTATTCGTGAGGCATACAGCCCGGGGTTTGAGTCAATGCTTGACCCTGTCGAGTAGCTGTACGCCATGTTTAGGGAATTCGCCAAAATCGTCCAAGCTAGGAACTTGATGGAGCTCTACTGGTCAACACTGACAACGGGCGACTCAAGCAACAACGATGAACTTCCCATACTAGAAAGCACGACGGAAGACATTGCAAGCCATGCCGCCGTAGTGAAGAAAACATCGTGATATTCTCGGAAATGACGTGCACTCACCTGTAGGCTGCAGGGAAAACGTAAAGTGTACTTGCAGCTCACAACGTATGTTAGAGTTGTTTTCCGGTTTCCAAAGCTTCATCGTCTTGACGACAAGGTTCAAAAAGCTGATGGCGGACGTCCTTCGCACTATCTATTGATCACGGCGTAATTCTAGAAACACACGGAGAGTGTCGACCGTCTAGACTATGCCCGGTGCTACAGGTGCTACAAGTACAAGTGCGGTAGGAGTTCCTCAAGGAGTCAAGCAGGCGACATTCATCAACTACCTTGTCTTGCAATCAGTTGCGCAAAAAAGCGTTTGCTTTTGTTTTCGGGATATGCGGCCATCCAGATGTTTGCACCCAGTCTTTGCTGAAACTGCGTGTGGGGGAGTTTTCTTGTTTTTGTGAGGGGCGCAACAGATGGGAAATGTGGATGGAAATGTTTGCCTCTCGTGCTTCGTGTCCTTTCGTATCCCGACGGAGCTCAGTTTGCTCGAGTGAAACAATCACAAACATTTTTTTCTTTTCTAACAATCACATACAATCCCCTTTCCTTGGGCCAAAAGCATCAGCGCCATAAACCCCATTCAAGCCCTGGATATCACCTTCAATGTGAACTTCGTTGTGCATTCCTGCAGGTCAAGGGTGCGCTGGAGCGTGCTCTGATGGCTAGCAAGTTTCGAAGGGAGTTCGTCGACATGTATGTGAAGACACACGTCAAGAACGCCGAGCTTAGGGTCGCGAAGGTACCGTGACCATTTCGTTTCCCTCGTGGGTTCAGTCATCTAGTTCGTGTTCGATTTAGTGGCGACGCTACGGAGATCCCCTCGGGTAGCTTGCCTGCCACGAAAGGTTTCCGTCGTCTCCACGTTTTTGCGCTCGCACCTCCCCGCTTGTCGAGAAATTCCGCGGGTGGAACGACCTGCTCTTCTCTCCTGCTTCAACGTATCTGCCAGTTTGGCGTGTAGCGTATTCAACCGGCGTGGCGCGACCGGCCGAAATTGTTTTTTCTATACGCTAAAAAGTGAACACACGTTGTATGCAAGATTGGGATGTGTCGTTTGTTACAGAAGCAGATTTTCGGTCCGGAATGTCGCAACGTTTCCCTTGATGTTTGGGCGTCGCCGCTCCACATGAGGACGTGCGAGGGACGCTGGTGTTAGAACACCCCACCTTTTTTTGTCCTCCCCGCCCCGCTGTAGGCTGTACTTGATTTTCGATCACCTGCACCCCGTCGATCACTCTATTTTTTTGCTTGCGCAATACGTGCTCTGCGCTTGCGCATGGTGCGGGACTGTCTAAATCGAACACCGACAAACCGAAAAAAACAGATGCTCGAGCTTCGTGCCAAGGACAGAGCAGAAGCGACCATTCTGGATCACATTCTCGGGACGTATTTGTCGGAGTTCGTCAAGGACGTCGCACAGGAGACGCTGAGGGCTGGGCTGCAAGCGAAAAGGAGGGCGGAAGATGAGGTAGCAGGAGATCCTAGAATAGTTCCCAATTCAACCGTTCAACGGAAAAGATGCATCATCTGCAAGTGTCACAACATCCACAAGGGGGATACATCAATTTCAAAACACCGCTTGGCCTGTTTGGAGGGTGCCTCATGCCGTGTGCCAAGACCGTGGGGCGTAAGAAACGCTCCAGCTCGGGCAACCAGCAGAAATCAGCATTGAATCTCGGTTCAATAAAAGCTGTGGGTCCCTGGTACCCATGCCTCTCGTTCCAACTATTGTCAGGATTCGCTGTGTACGCGTACGTGGACAGCGGAAGAGATGCTCAATGCTTAACTAAGCCTCACAGGACAAATACAAAAACCCTACACACACTGAGCTGCTTCCCACGAGCTAATATCCAGGATATATTGGATTTCACCGCACGGGTATGTTAGAGGAATTCGCGGAGGCGCCAATCTTGCTAAACGGTTTTTTGAGTCCTCGCCGCCACGACCTTGCTGTTCCTTGACACTTTCTATATTGCTTGATGACTTCCATCTCCCCCACGTTCTTTGTTTGCGTTCTCACTCCGTATACTCTTTACCGACGGTATAACAACGTCCGAGAGAGTAGACGGGGCTTGTGTTTCCGGATCCGAGCCACATGCAGTATGGCGTATACAGTACATTCCGCTCGTGGTGGGTGGGCCGTAAGGAAGAGCTGGAACGCAGCGTGGAAAAATGGAGCATTGTCATAGCAAAGGTGGGTGGGGGAGAAAGCAGCCAGCTCTCAACGTCGTCTTGCTCCTTATCGCACCCCTCCACTTGTGCGAGTTCCCGGCAGAGAAAATGGTCAGTCTTCGTCTGCAGCCGACGGGGCATCGGATTTCACTCTATGGTAGTTCTTAGCTGAATTCGCACGCCACGACCACGTTTTCGTTCACCGTACCGCTCTACAACCGTGAATCGGTCAAGTCCCAATGGAGGTTACAGGAAGTGCCCTCCCATAGATATTTCACAGCCACCCTTTCAGCCACAGCGTCGGCATGCTTTCTGCGAATGGCGATGTCTGCTTCTAAAAGGTAACACACACACACGCGCATGATCAGCGGGAACCTTTTGGTGGTCTCCAGGCACAAAGAACAATAACATCGCAACAGCAGTTCCAACTCTCTGCCTTTGGGCCTTCCACCTATTTGCCTTATCTCTTCGTTTCGGTTGGTTGGGGGGACCCGGAACCGCTGACGGCGACCGTTGCTTAGAATCGCGAGAAGTGGGAGAGAGAACACGCCAGAGTGACAGAGGCGCAACAGAGCTTGCTAGAGCGCGGGTTAAAGGAGGAAGCCAGGGTTAGGATAGCAAAGGTAAGCGACGGTGTTCGCGCAGATCTCGCCCAAAATGTGAGGTAGTATGTTCTTGCAACGGGCACCAAGCCTTCAGAGTTCACCCTCGAAATACGTTTGCGAAACGTCAACCGGATGTTGCGCTGGCGAATGTCGTGATATTTCTCATGATCAGCTTGGAGCCCTTACTCAATACAGGAAAACCTTCGAGTACCTTTTCAACCTTGTGTCCAAGTATGCCCGATGGGGTACTCTTGATCGACTGCACCCAAAATTAGCCTCTAAGCAATTCGCATGCATGCATTGATTTTATTTGTTCATCCCCGCCTCTCCACATGTTGAGTATAGGCGTGCGTCGAGATGGCCAAGGAGGAAAGGGCAACGAAGGCCTTCAACTCCTGGGAGCTGGTCATGATGCTGCGAGAGAAGAGAAGGATGATGGACGAAGAGATGGAGACCAGGTGCAGTCTAGTGTCTCTAGGAAAACCGGCCAACCCAAATATGGAGATCTGGAACATTCATAGCGTAGGGCAAGCTGAGGAGGGTGTTCACCTGATCGCTCTTAACGTTCGATCAAGCATCATGGAAGAACAAATGGCTACATCAGTGGTGCGCTGATGCCCTCACGAAGTAAAATCGTGAGTGAGAATATACATGTCATAAAATGATGATGGTGGAGCAGAGCTGGAAGGTGTTTCGCTTCTCCATAAGAGAATCAAGTGTAGAGGAGGCAAACAAAGCACACGCAGCTGGGCGTTGATGATATGAGGAGAACAGCCAGATTTTCTGAGGAACAGTGGACAGAAGAAACGCACCAAACGTCGTTCTCGTCCTTCGAATGCCAGGGCAGAGGAGGCATAGAACATTGGTCAGGACGGTTGTATTGCTTCGATGTATGCAGCGGTTGTCGCTTACACCTCGTGAATCGAACACTGGGCACTCCTCGTTGCTAAACTAGTCTCTTCGCCAAAACAATGTGGACCGCAACCAGGCGATACATGAGAGCATTGGAGATGCAAAGACGAGAAGAAGAGCGGCAGAGCAAGCTCAAGACGGCGGCCGAGGCGAAGGAAGAGCGGCAGAGGAAATGGCTCACCATGACAGAGGAGGAAAAAGAAGTGTTTGTTGAAGAAGAGAAGGTCGCCAAGAAGCAAGAGTGGATCAAGAAGCAGGTGAGACCAGCTCATGAGCGTATAAGAGCGAACGTGCGGGTTCGACGTGTTGGTGAGTGCGCGAGGGACGAGCCTTCCGAACAGGTCCATACAACCGTTCCGCCTTACTCGGCTAAATAATCTCCACAGGATCAGTTTCCCTCACATGTATTCTCCCGGTGCTCAACAGGCGGCGCTTCTGGGACTTGCACCTGCCGAAGATGGAGACGGCGCTGACGGTGGTATCGGCGACGACAAAACTTTCGCCTCCGCGGCAAGCAGTCGCGAAAGAAGGCGGCTGTCGATCAAGGCGGCCAAAGTCCGTAGGAGGAAGCAGGAGATTGAGATCACGGCCATGGAAGCCGAGGACGAGCGCAGCAAGCTGGAGAACCGGGCTTACCGGGTGGGTTACTGACTCCACCTTTGGTTGCTAGCAGGAACCGTTGTTCTCCTGACAGGCGTCGAGCGGACAGTTCGTTGCCTTTAATATGGAGTCGAGGTTCGCGCGCCACGCTTGACACTTGAGTGTCAACGTTCCATGATGAAGGTGTCCATAATACGATAATGAGATAAGATCGGCTTGGATGAGATGAGATCGCACAAGGTCACGTGGGGGCCGAGAGATGGCGTGAGTGTACCGCGCATGATGTTGTGGCGACGATGCGCAAAGAAACACAAAAGCAAGCCTAAAGAACCCGCCGACGTTTGACCCGAACGCACAACGAGCTTAGACGTAACGATCCGTTCGGTACCAGTCAAACTCCGTACCCTGAATCACCGATATGCAACCACAAATACACCGCAGGAGATGCTTGAGGTGAGGCTTCAGCGGCAGATCGAGATGGCTAGGAGGGCAGCGGCTATGAAGCGCCAGATGGCCGCCGAGGTTTCCGCCGCCGGATGTGGCCAAACTGCGGCGTCGATTGTGAACTCAATGGACAGTGGTAGCGGGGGCGGCGGCGGCAGCAGGGGCGGGGGTGGAGGCGATGGAGATGGGAACGGAAGCCAAACAGAAGCCGGCAGCATAGGCGTCGGAGGAGAGGAAGGAGGCGGCTTTCTTGGTGGTTATGGCAGCGAAGACACCGGCGGTAGTTTCAACTTGTTCGATGTGAGTTGATGGTCCCTTCCCTGCACTTCGTCTTGGTGCTCGTACTCATTGTGCTGGGAGAACTGGAATGAACAGCGTTACCGGTTTGCCATGCGCGTCTGTTTCCTGGCGGCTTGAGTGCTCCAACACTAACGTTTCCGGAAAAGGATCAAGAGATGCTCACAAGCTACTGCTGCTGTTCCCATGTCCAAATTGTTCACGTTCTAAGGACGACTACGTTAGCAGCTCTGAGTCGGATCTCGGGGAGGAAGATCGAGCTTTCGCCGAGGACGTGGGACTGCCGACGGGCGACGTCGACCTCGAAGACTCAATCCACTCTTCGGATGACGAAGAGGGCGGAGGAAAGGCGGCCAAGAAAGCGGCCAAGGCCAAGGCGGATGCGGCTGCTGCCGCTGCAGCTAAAGCTGCGGAGACCAGCTGGCTAGGCGGAGGGGGTGGCCGTTGGGGAGGTGGCGGGGGCATCGGCAACGAGCAGGCAAAAGAGACTGAAGAGGAAACCGCCAACAACGGTGACGAACCCACTAGTAACGTTGAGGCTGTTTCGTCTCCTGGGTCTCAGGCTGCAGAGGTAGGTATTGGTGGTGTGGAAGAGGGGGAAGACGGGATAAGTCCTGTGGTCGCCCCGCTAGAGGAGGAGGGGGCGGCACCCCCGGCAGGGAGGGCAGGGTCGGTGATGCTGGCAGGAAACGGAGTACAGAATGGAAAGGAGCACGACAAGAACCAAGACGGTGAGATATTGTCTGCTTAACCCCTCCTGTTCCACTGCCAATGACATGTGCCGTTTTCGTTTCGTGGAAGTGCGTGCGAACCAGCTCCAAACCGCAAGGTTGCTGGTCCACCCGCTCGTTGTAACTTTTGCCGCCTTCTTTCACGCAAAACATGCGTCCTTCCTTGGGTTCTCTCGCGGTGCGTTGTCATTAATTTGTTTTTCCTTCCTTTCCTCTGCATTTAAAAAACGAAAAAGGGGAAATTGGCGGGACGTTCAGACGTGCGGGATCTCCCGCCGACTGTTCCCGCCCTTCAACCCATTCCACAAACGAGAACTCGATGGACGAATGGGACGACGCCGAGAACAGGGGCGAGGGCAACATGGACAGTCGTGGTAGGCCGACAACGGCAGGGGAGCGAGCGAAAGACAAGCGCCGACGCAGCAATGGCCAGGGTGGGAAGGATTTCGGCAACAAAAGGGCTTCTTCTACCTCTCCTCTTCGCCTTCCAGGCAGCCCCGAAGGAACTAGTAGGGGCGGTCGCGGTAAAAGAGGCCGCAATGCGGCAGAAGGGGCAAGGGGGGGTCTCGGGGGGCGACGGCGTATGCTATCTGACGACGGGGAGGACAGCACAAGCACGGAGGAAGAGACCAGCAGCGACGAGGTACAGGATTTTCTGAGACGGATAATGGGGTTATGCACTCCAAGCCGTGATGCCTTGCCTAGGTCAAAGTGCATTGGGAAGTGTGCAAAGATTGTCGACGTTGGTGGATGGGTGCTTGGGTTGGGTTGGTGTAGGCCTGGAAGGTTTCATTGGCGGGGAAACCCAGGTAGAGAGTACTACCGAAAGTTGACGGCGGGTTTGACCAGAATATTCCCCACTAGCTCGATTTGGCTCGCCACGCCCGAACACCAACTAAAACTTAGGATCGTGGCGGGCACGGGCGAGCTGTGGCGACCAGGAAACGAAAGCCCGGCGATGGCGGCGGTGCTACCAAGAAAAAAATGGCAAAGAAGAATGGCACGAAGACAGCAGTTGCTGCAACCCTGGCTTTGGCGGAGGCGGAATCTCTCGAGGAAGAGAACCCGGAAGTAGCGCAAATGGCACAGCAGAAAAAGGTAACCACGTTTTACGATTCGATTGACCCGCGGTGCCTGTGTGTATCGAAAACATTGTTTCCCATGGCCTTCACCAAAACAGAGAGAACTCTGTGAACAACGCTTGCCAACACTACACATTGCACACACGCCGCTAGTCGAAAAACGAACAACCCTGTGCGACTCACGACCAATTCGTGTCGTAAAACCGTTGGTACTTGCCCACTGGTGTACCAAAGTTCAAGCGGCGCACCCCAACCATGGCGACACATGTTGCAACGGAAACGTAGGTGCTCGACCGGCGCATGAAGCACAGGCTCGGAAGACAGAGACAGCGCGTGATCAAGCGGCTGCGCAGGGCGAAGGAAGTTCGCGAGGCTGAGGACGAGAAAATTGCCATGAGGCTAGAGCAGGCGAATCAGGTACCTCCGAGCATCACCTGACGACGAAACCACTCGAGTTTTTTCCGCTTCGACACGAGTGTCATTTTTGGTCTTACGCGTGGTTCGATGTTCGTTGGGTTGAGGAATTGTACCATGGTACGCCTGCCTCATACGCGGCGGTGCGACCGCTCAGATTTCGGTGCTACCGCTCTACAGCACCAGCACGAGTGGACCATGGCGGGGGTCGAGCACTCCTGGAGCTCGGCGAGACACACTGGCTGTCCTATGGCAACAAATGCGTATTTGATTTACTTCTGTGCAACTTACAAGATCCGCATTGTTCGTCACCCTGTGTTTTCCCGGATGCACGCTTGAAAAGATGGCCCAGCTTGCAGACGCCAAGGCGGAATTGGCGTGGCTGGATGCGGAAGGAGAGTCGAGGAGGCTGGAAAAGCGGCTTGTCGGGGAGAGGGAGGGGCTGCGAAAACTTCGGTTATTCTGTCAGACTAAGGCTCGGGAAGAGATCACTTGCAGAGAGGAATCGGTGTTGAGGTAAGGCATGCGGTATAGGTTTATCGTGCGGCATTATTACAAGGTGTGCTGAAGTGCCAGTTGGCCGTTTGAAAAAACAATTTGGGGCCATCGGTTCGTGGCTGGAATCCTTGGCATGCTCCGATGACGCAGTCCACAGGACATTGCCCATCAAATACCAGTAGGCTTATGTTTTTATTATTTTTTGTGATACTTCACAGGACAATTGCCCTATCAAATACCAGTAGACTGTAGTGTCGAGGTTTAACCACACTACTACACGCGAAGAAGAAGTAACCGACGAGTTATCCGGTACAAGACACACCGCACAATTCCCGAGCAAAGGCCTCTGTGATCCCTACAACGCAAGGTCTCGAAGACACCTGGGGACAAGGTCAAACTCGGTGGTGTACGTGGTATGGCGTCTACTCTCCAGCTAACAACGTTGGCGCTCGTTCTTTCGCCCTGATACCAGAACAAACGAGGCGAGAAAGCGGCAGGCCGCGCGCGACGATGCCTTTACATGGCACGCCAGGTGCAAGGAGCAGGAGCACCGCACTTTGAAGTGGAAGATCAGAGTATTGAAGGAGACCAAGTTCTTCAACGGGAGGGTCATCACCGGCCAGTTCCAAAGGTGATACCCAAGGGTGGGGCCTTCACTGAATGCACACGTTGCTGCATCTCAGTTGGTTGGTGTACCCGCTTGGCTGGTTTGTTTGTCGTGAACGCGTCGAGTTCGGGATGTCTTTTGGCTGAGACTAAACAGATTGGTCGGGATTGATCTCTTTCAGGCTGGGAGACTGTCGATAGAGCCCAGTTTGTCGGGTTGTTTCGACGTGCCGCCCTCTCCATAGTCTGTTCATCGTCAGCCCGCTTGTAGGACCTTGACAAGGACGTTCTTCGTCTCAAGATACCCCAACCACATCTTTCCGACCTTCTTTCTTCTGGCTACCCCAAATCGGATGAAGATGGGAAACGGATTGGATATATCCGCACCTCCACTCGATGTATTTCAAGGGCTTGGTGGATATCGTGGTCAACAGGGCCGAGCTCATCGGGGCAGAACGGCGCATGATGAAGGTGCGCGTGCTGCTGTAGGGGGTCACGTGATGGGATCCGCCAGATACACGCAGGTTCACTGAAGGATGGCGTGAACACGCAAGTGCTCTTGGGGTCAGAGGACAGGACACGAAATGTTTGTAACTGGGACCAGGTGCAAAGCGCCGAGTCGGCCTGTGACTCCTTGAGCGTGTAATAGTTGTCCGTATTTTCTCAAACGCTGCAGAAGTCCAAGACTGCATTTCTCCCTTTCCACACCTGCTCGTTTCCGGCCGATCGATGAAAAAATAACGTTACGTGGCGTATTCCAGATCCACGACCGACTGGTGAGAACGTCACAAGAGATCATCAAGAAGGAGACGCTGGTGTCCAAGCTGTGGAAGAAACAGCGGAGGCGCGAGCTTATCTATCTCAGGCGGTCGGAGCTAGGAAAAAAAATATTTGGCAAGTCGCAGAAGAAGTATCTCCGGAAGGTAATCCGTCGACATCCACAGAAAATTCAGTTCTACCCCCCAACCGTGGACCGCCTCTCTCTGTATATCCCAAGGTTGGCCGCGGAATTGGTTCGATTGCGTTGCTGCAAACAGTGTCGCAGCCAACCTTGCAGTGTCCTTCCCAGCCTACAAAATGGCTAAGCGCACGACGCAAGATAGCCTCTAATTTGTCGGAGATGTCTCAATATCGAAAACGAGTGGTGTTTTACCTCTGCAGGAATGCGTGGTCAATGACCAACTACCTAAGGCGAGCAGCCATGAGTACGCCCCTCCCCAATCCCACCACACGATGCACTGTCTTCCTGCCGTCCATTGTACGCGCCGAATATCCGACGTCTATCTGCCTTCCGTTTCTTCCTTTCTAGGTGTTCGAAGCGTGGACAGGCTTCCACACGTGGCTGCGAAGCATGCGAGAGGCCTTCCGGCTAAAGTACGGCGTCCTCAAGCAGGCGAGTGCGAGCAAACGTTATCGAACCATTTGTTACCGCATTCGGTGTGTCACTGCGCGATTTGCAGATTGGGACTCACTGCTTGATATTTTGATGGTTTCAGCATACACCGCCACAACATGTTTGTGTGTTCTCGGTATGATACGCATCTGCGAGATCTCCGGGGGTTACGCAGATAGATATGAGATATGTGATGGGTATGACGGACTTGACGTGCTAGGCTCTGCTTCCTACCCATTCTCACTCTTCTACATAATACGAGGAACTTGAGTCAATCCTTTGTGCAGAAACGCTCTCGGCAAGAGCCGGCGTGCGTGATAACGCAGAACACACGCCGACACCCGAAACGCAACACGCCCATGAACCAACCAATATTCATCGAGATCATGGTGCAATTCGATGCGTCGAAGACCCGAACGTCTTGTGGTACCTTTGCCTTAAGTTCGCGCTAAAATGTCTATGTCTCTTCATTGTCACCTGGCAGGAATTGGACCTGAACCGTGTTTACGAGGAGATCGACGCCGGATTGCAGCGGTCGCGAAACACACGACCCCTCTGTGAGAAGACTGGAGCCCTCCCAGTGACGAGCAAGAGCCTGTTTCATCGTTTCAAGGTCACACATATTTACATAGAGGGTTCCACGGCGGGGAATTAAGAAGGATTTGCGTTGACGACCGACCAGTGCTCAACGTGGAGTGGGCAGTAGCCCACAGAAATCCTCACGTCGGACCCTTGATAACTGTTTTCCTGGCGTATCTGCTGTTTTTCTGGGCGATCCAAGGCACCCTCGGGGAGTAACAATGCTTCCCTTGCACCTCTGGCTTCTACCGAGGAGGGCGAACGCCCGAGGTGCGCGAATCGATTGCGAAGGATGGTTGCTGAAACGCGGTTTCACCACAGGGTCGAGGGTCACGTCGTTCCATTCGGCAATTCTTTTTCACGCTCTTCCTTGCTCGCCCGTGTGTGTTCGGGGAATTGCCGTCTTGTTGCACACATATGCTTGAAATTCCAGGAGCGTCCGATTCGATGTCGGAACTGCAAGGAGCTTTACCTCGAGGCTCAGAATCACGACCTTTGCTGCGCCTACCACCCCGGGGAGTACAAAAGGGCTTGCCCTCGCAGCTGTCCTGGGCTTACGGAAAAGTGCATGAGCCACAGGTGATGCTGCTTGAGTTACAGGGTCCTCTTGATGTAGCCACCAGTCGATTCGCCAACAACGCAATCTGTGTGGTTCTCTTCACTAAAGTGAGCGTAATAACACCGGACACCAAACCGTACACCGTACCACAACATTGAAACCAATTGAAGGGTGATGAGGTGGACATGCTGCGACAAGAACGACCCAGGATCATGGGGGTCATCTGGGTGTAAGACTCGCTGCCACTTCCCGCCGTTCGATGGCCACCCGAAATTCGTCGACATCGTTCGGAAGGTGGGTGAGGGTTCACACTCGTGATAGGCCGCTCGTTACAATGCGATCACAAGATGTCACATGTATAGCTGTCTCGAGCGAAGGCACTTTCACAATCCGCCCACGGCCCTGCCATACGCTGATGCGTAAATCACGTGCACGGTGACCTATTCAGGGAGCTGGCGAAGACAGAGGGGCGCTCGCTGCCTTGGACAGGGAACTTGACGAACTTAGCTCGGTGGACATGCGACAAGCGGCGTTGCAGGTGACCTCAGAACAGCGACATGTACTCTATTAAGCCAGTGTTTGGCCTGGGACTACGTATGTACCTCTTTTGAGCGCACAACAACCATTCTAGCGTCTACACGACACCCTCATACCTTTGTCGAAGTCAGCAGGTCGTCAATCCGTGGGTTTATTCCGATTCCGACAACATCGTTGGGACTCTTGCCCGCACGGTAGTCGGTCTGCTGTATACCTCCACCACCAGTGTTACGTTTTTCGTTTTCTTTCTTCACGTCAAAGACTTGTGTAACCAATGGAACCGCGTTGTGTTTTTGTAGGCGGCTTCTGCACATTCGCATGACAATTCTCGACGCCACAATTCGACAGCTCTTTCGTCTGAGGAGCCGAGTCATTATTTTTTCTGTTCTGGCCGTTGAAAATGTCCTGCAACTCAAAGCACCCTCCGGAGTATGGTTGAAGTTGAATTGTCCTGCGACAAACCACGTTACAAATTAGATGTCAGAGCTCGTCAAAACATTCCCAATGGATATTTCCAGACGAGTTTGTATTCCGTTTGAGGACTGATTTTGGATATAATCGGTCCTCCCGTGTTGTTCGTGCAGACGTCGAGCGTACTTGGTTTTCGTTTGGAAGCTGCGCCTTTATTTTGTCGAGGTTACTATCCATTCTTCGAGCCTGACGCTACATCGAGTCCACGAATCCATTGATTGAGTTCCAAACACTGAACTATGGTCTTGCATATATTGCCACATGGTGAAATAAATAATACCGGGGTATCGCACTGGTGTTTCTCTTGTCGATATTTTTGTTGGTCGAACAAATTGTCCTAAGAATTATATCGTCACCCTTTCGAGCGAAGGTTTGGCGCAACTCGACCCATCCTCCCATCTCAACATCAAAATGCTGCTTGTCCCACCCTACTCCCCAAATGGCGTTTTTCTGCTGGGCGCATCGGCACGTTCCCTGGTCGGGTTGGAATAAAAGATGAAGCAGCAGCAGCTGGCAGACATCGCTGGCGAGCTCCAAAAAGAACGGGACGTCGTAGCTCGCTACAACGACATTAAATTTGTATGATTTGGCCTGCAACACCGGTACCCTGGTAGCCGGTCGGCCATCGTGGTGCTCGTCCAAGGGGGAGAAAACAGCCTGTTGTTACCATGTCGCCTTGATTGAAAGTAGAAATGTTTGGGCATGTGCTGAAACGCCGCAACGTAATTTCCTTCCGCTGTGCTACACGAAGCGATCAAATGAAACCCCAAGTGGTCAGAAGCTTGCGTTCGAATTTATATTTTATGACTCTTGCATCGTTGTCGCATGGTTTGTTCTTTGCGATCGGTGCGTCATAAAGAGTGGAAGCCGTCGTGTATGGTTCGTGTATCCTATTGAACGGCCGGACGGCATCTGTATGGCATTCCGACGTCGTGGTGATGCTTCAGCTGTAAGTCGAGATCAACACCAAGTTTTGAAGCGAACTAGGCGGAGACACAGCTTGAGTGCAGAACCAACGCAAGAGAGATTTGAGTGCAAATCGGCTGCGTGTTTATGACAACAGCGGCGTAGGAATTGTTTCCCCGCACAAGTCTGAAGAGGCCCAGCGATTTTCCAGCGGCGATGGACGACACCATGAAGAGGAGTGCCGAGTCGGTACGCGAGCTCTACAAATGCGCAATGCGTTGGGAAGGATGCACAGATGAGCCGAAATGAGTTCTTCACATCCAATTTGCGGGCAACGTTGGCTCTTGAGTAGTACATGGCAGAGAATGTAATCCCAACCAGAAAAAATCATCACATTGAACACATCCAACACCAGGCACAAGCGAAACCAGAAAAACAACAACAAACCGTGCCCGGGTGGAATCCTCTCCCTCTAAACACCCTGCGAAACAGTGGAACCGTGGGCGAACAAGTCACGCTCAAGCTCCAAAGTTCAAAATTCGCAAGGAGCGGTAAACATTGTTCTCTCCCCCGTTTTTGGGTGTCGAAGGCACAGAGTGTGCGCGTGCAGCAGGCACCGGTCCGCGAGATCGAGAGAGTCCTTGGTGCCGTAGAAGTGGTCGCCCAGGATTGGATGACCTATTGCATTCATATGAAGTCGCTGCCCAGGAGGACAAAACGAAGGAGGAGCGAAAATGAGACGCCAGTCATCTTCCTGGTTGGTAGGCATGGGATGTGTTGAAATTTCAGCCAGTAGCCTCTCCCGCAAGGTAGCCCTTGTTGGAAGGAGCAGCCATGCCAAAGAGACGGTGGGGGAAGCATCGCATCAGGGGCGACCACGTCTACAAAATTCTGATTTCGCGAAAAATATGTGCACTGAAGTATGCGTTGTCGATCGCTCTTCCTCCGGCTCACCAGTTGGTGCGAACGGCCCGACACGGGAATGAGCTCCACTCTTGTCCGGTCGGCAGCCCTCTCCAGGACTCGCCTTGTGCACGTCGAACATGAGTTCGAACAAATCCGTCACAGAGAAAGGTAACGCCGTCACACAGAAGGTTTGAACGCGAGAGCAGATGATCCGTCGTAGGAGAGAGAGAGGGAGATCAAGAGGTATCTTGTGTCTATCGCGTAGTACATACATCCCTTTATTGTTCTTCGAATACTTTACACAACGCGTGAATAACCATGGTGGTGGTGAATGTAGCACAACCAACCACAGGCAGAGGATCTCCCAGGTGCTGCGCCACAAGAGATGACCACGCGCGCAATCCTCAACTACACCGGCGCAAAGGACCCAGCAGTCTGCCGAATAAACTATAGCTACCATCGAAGGACCTCCACGCAGGGTGACAACGATTTCCCCGAATTTGCAGCAACGCCACTTCTGTCGCTTCGTTCATTACACATTCGCTGCTATTGCCGATCGCGGAACTTCCTCGCACATACCATTTTGTGAGCGACGGCTTTCCGTGCTCGAAGTTGACCATGTGGAGCGGCGGGCAGCCCCTATTTCGGCAGAGCGGAAGGTCGACCTCCCCTTCGTCCGCCCAGAGGACACCGTGCACCATCGCAACGTAGCGTTTCCGCACTTGGCGCTCTCGAAACTAGCATTCAACGCGGTGGCGGAGAAGAGACGGAAAGAGGGGTGAAACATAAACAGGTAGCAGCACAAGACGCCAGCAGCACGTAACGCATACATACGCAGCGCGTACAGAGCACATGAAGTCAAAAATACTAGACAAGGAAATGGATATCACGGGGCTCCGGTAGAAATGAAAACTCACTCGCAGTGCGCGCGACGGGATACATCGTTGACTACGCTCACTCTTGTGTCCGCGTGAAAAGAAGGTGCGGAGTCTGGCATTCTCACAACCGACTACCCATGAGCAAACAAAAGTTGCACCTGCCGGTTGAGGTCCTTGAGAGCTGCATCCGTGCGGGCCATAATCACGCAGCCGGACGTCGCCATGTCTAGCCGGTGCACGATCATTCTGTCCACCCGGTAGTGTCCCAGCTCCAGGGCAGCCCTTCAAAAGCATCCGAAAGTGACAGCCAACCAAGCGATAAAAAATGACAAACTACCATATTTGTTCTTGATCTGAAGTAAGGCTCGTCGTGCTTGTCTCGTTACTCCCTCACAGGTACACTTCTCCCGGAACGTAAAGAAGCTGCACTTCATTGTTCGACTTGATTAGATACACCCGAAGAGGCCTGGGCACGAGTGGCCGGCGGGAAATGAGCGCTACATGAACCATGTTTTTCTGCACTTGACGCCTCATTATGTTCAATGGTAGTCATCAAAACATCTTGAGTATATGGCGGGAATCCACGAACCTGCCGGGACAAAAGTCTCGCTGGGGCTCCGTGGGCTTCGGATGGTACCAAATACTCCAGATTGCATCCACAGCACCCAAAAAAGATGCCGCTGCTACTGAAACAATCACATCCCTTGGCGCAACTCTCCACTGCCACTGGCGCAACATTCCATGTGTAGAAACATTGTTGGCTCTACGATACATTCAACTACAAACAGCAGTCGGTCTTGCAAAGTTTGGTGCCGCACTACAATAGCCCGGTACACATACGTTTGATACGCGAGAATCCCGGTACATTTACCTAACTGGACGAACCTGGTGGCAAGCGAGTCCTTCTCGATACGCCCCGGGACGCATAGAAGATCACTTGGCTTGTTACACACCACTATCTCCTCGTCCACGAACAAAATATCCTGGGGCGTCCGCGCGCGTGAGTTCGAAACACGTGCACAGCGGTTGGCATGGAGTACATTACTCTCGAAGGCAGAATAACAGCTGGAGCCACAAGAAAACAACCGATACGCTGGCTATGACACTCCGGCACAGTTCAACATTGCGGTGGTCGAATGCAAAATGCTAATGCACACGTTTTCAGCATGCGACCGAGGTCGCTCTACGGCTTTTACATGTTGCAGTCGGCAACGCGTTTCGGGGATCGGTGCGGGTGGAAATCCGCGCCGCGTTTTTTCCAACATGGTGTGTATGGATAAATCGGCACCTACTTGAGGTGATCGCACGATCGGCAGGTGACAGCGATGAGACTGTTGGAAGAGCACTGCTGTTGTCGTCTACGGAACACCCTTCCCCGGGTCGTCACTCACTAGGGGTCCTGGCGGCACGGGAGCATTGAACGGGCCGTTGAGCCACATCTCCTCGGCCGCGACGCCCTTGCCCTTTCCTCCAGGTTCCCCCACAACAGCTGCTCCCAGGGAAGCGCTGGTGCCTGGTCGAATCTTTCCTGTGCTTGCCATCGGATCCGGGCCATTGCCAAGCCATGGCCTCTCCTCCACCTGCACCTCCCTTACTTCGTTTGTGGCAGCCGCAGTAGTAGCGACGTGGACGCGGGTGCCGCCGTTGCAGCTGCTGATCGATCGAAAGCCGTGTGACCCCCACGCGGCCGTGAGCACGGTCAGGCAACGCAAACGACCCGGCGAGGAGGAGAGCACGCCCGCTGGTTGTGCCCTGCGAGGCATTGCCGTCTTCAACACTATGATAAGCACGCAGCTCACAGGTGTGGGCGTCAATGACGAGGGCGGTAGCAAGCTCCTCTCGCCGCTCTTTCTGCTTCGGACGGGTTCTTTTCGAGAACCTGAACGCCTTCACATGCACTCCGTGGGAGTTCGCTTCCAGAAACACGCCGCATCGCGACATCCCCAGGTGCAGATCTATGATTTATGAATGGATAGAGCATCGTCCGCACACTACTCAACCCTATGTGGAATGCGCTTGTTGCTTTGTAGTGACTGTAGTGCTTGATCTTTAGATGATTTTCATCTCTCACACCCGGTTGGGGGAAAGAGCAGGGAGTGCCACGAGCACCAATATGACTCTGTATGACGAAGGCATATACTTTGATGCACGGATCACGGATCACGTGTGTTGTCATGATGCACACGTTTGAAAATGGGTTTCTGATTGTGTGGTTCTGGAGGCGTTTGAGTTGTGCAAGTTGAAATTTGCAAGTTGTTGTTGTTGTTGTTGACTTCACATTAAACCGTATGCCAGTTGCTAAATGCCAAAATCTAGCAAAGACTCACGGCCCGTGGTCACGAAAGTGCTGGAGCCATCTGAGGATCTAAAGAACACGCACACGTAGCAAGAAAAAGGTGTACAAGAGCCCGAAGAGGTACTACTACACCTATATATAATCCCTGCAGCACCGTACGCGTGCCCAAAACTGAACTACACGTCCGTCTCACCGTTCGACTACAGCAACATCACCCCCTAC